TTGATGGAGGCCACACCCGCCCTGCTCCAGCCTGCAGTAAGTGCGCAGCCTGGGACAGTGGCCACGTGGGCATCAAAGGGACTTCGACGACTGGCCCCAGACAGAGATAGGGGGGTGGTAAAGTCAGAGAGAAGGAGGGCAGATCAAAGATAGAGGGTAAGGGAACCTTCCTTCCCATTCTCTCCAGTGCTTCTTCTAAGTCTCCCCCACTTTTGGTTTCTCATTCCCTCTTTCTTCCTGTTTCCCTCTTTTCTCCACTGTCCTGCCCTCTCTCTGAACCATTCTGTGTCCCTGGCTTCATCACTGTCTTCCTGTTTTCCACCATTGCACATACATCTGAGGTACGGATTTTGCAGTGAACACACCTGAAGCCACTTGTTTCTTAGAACCTCCTGTGTCTGACCCCCACGGCTCCCAGCTGCTCTCCTGGCCCCAGTCACAGTGACAGATGCCTGGATACCGGCCTGCGACAATAGGGCATTGAGTGGCTATACATGGTGAGGCTGGGCTACCACGTGGTGCTGACTGAGCCTCCTACTTCTGGGCCCTCCTTCAGTGCAGGGTCCTCGTGGTCTTAATTTATCACCTCTCCTCCTCCCAGCCCGTCCCCATGATACATCTCTGCCCGATCGCTCGCTTACAGAAGAACCCAGGTCCTCAAGGCCCATGTGTGACCTCTGACCACACCCTCTTTCCCTTTGTGCATTAGTTTCCTTTTTCAAATGAGAGAACCGATCAGAGGACGCCTAGGAGATGCTGGACTGCTGCGAGAGTTCTGAGGTCCTCAGGAGGCCACACTCCAGTTCCCCGACCTGGGTGAGCAGCACGAAGCCCAGAGAAGGAAAGGAACCGTCCTGAGGTCACACAGCTGGTGAGCCAGGCTTCAGGGACCTCATTTCTCAGAGCCAGGTGGGCGGGTCCCAGGGTCCAGGAGGGGAGAGGCCCAGGCATGGAGAGAGCGCCGATCATGCCCCCACCCCCCACTGCTAGCCACGACTCGAAAAAGAGGCCCGGAAAGAGACAGAGTGCACAGAGACACACACGCAGAGACGGAGAGATAGGAAGAGCGGAAGAGGGAGGATCGGGAGCCGGGACCAGACAAAGGACGCGAGGCGGCGCGGGGAGCGGAGTCGCGCGGCAGGGGCGGGGGTGGAGCCGGGGTGGGGCTATAACTGGCCAGCCCCGCCCCCGGGATACGCCCGGGCTGCCGAGTGGGAATCCGAGGGCTCGGGCGAGGCCGGGTCCCCGGGGCCCTGGGGGCGGAGCCTAGATGGGCGTGCCCGGGCGTGGCCAGGCAGGGCGTGGCAGGGCGGGAGGGGCCGCCCGCTCGGGAGCTGACCAGCTCCGTGGCTGCTGAAAGCACAGAGCGCGGGGCGAGCGGTGCGGGCTGGCAAGCCGGCGGCGCTCAAGGTCACCTCGCGGCCCAGAGCCTCGGCGAGGTGGGGAGCCTGGACCTGGCCTAGGGGGGCTGCCTCGGTCTCCTACCCCATATCCCTGGGGGCGGGGACCCGGGATCCGGGAGGTGCCCCCACCAACCCGCGGGCCCTCCTCTCCCCTCCCCCTCCCCGCAGCCCGAGGCGCCCGCGCGAGGCTACGGCCCGCGAAGAAGCGCCGAGAAACAAAGGGACGCGGCAGCGGCGGCGGCGGGCCCGCGGGGCCTCCGGGCGTGCCCCCTCCTCTCCCCTCCCCGCTTGCCGCAAGGTCGACGGGCTTGAGGACGAGACGCCCGCCTCCCGGGCGCGGCCGAGGCCCCGGGCGCGCGATCCGACGCCACCCGCTTCCCTAGGGCTCTCGGGGACGCCCTGTCGCTTTGGCCTGGCCCAGCACCAGGCATCGAGCCCTGCGTTTGCCTGGGCGGCCTGCGGGGTCTGCGCCTGGATGGAGGAAGCATCCTTAGCTGCCACGGCCCCTCCCCCATCAGGCCTGCTGGCGAGGGGGCCATCCCGCCTCCAGGGCGGCGTCGGATGCCCCCTGAATCTTAGTCCGGCTCCCAAAGGCCCCTCAGGCCAAGCTCTCAGCGCCCTCAGCACTCTGGGCGCGGCCCTGCCCACTCTCAGGCCCCGAGGCTCGGTCCTACCCCCCCCACCCGGGCCTAGCTAGGCCTGGTCCTACCCCCCCTCCCCGCACCCGCCCAATCTCCGCGGAGCCTGGGCCCAACTCCTCCCAGTCCCGACTCCCTTTCGGCAACAGGGGAATACCTACAGTGACCATTCTTGTGTGCCCGGCGGGCGCGGTCCGTGTTGAGGGCGGCTCCGGGGGTCGTGCACTCTTAGGGGGGCGCCCGATGCTCACGCCGGGGTCCTGCCCGGGCGGCCTCTGGTGCGGCCGCTGCAGATGAGGCGATGAAGGCGGCGGCTCCCTCGAGGGCCAGGGACGGGCCCGAACCCGGGGATGCGCGAGTGGATGGCCGGGCCCCGGGGTGGCCTGCGGGCGGCAGGGGATGGAAAGAGGGAGCTGGCGCGGGGTTGAGGACGCCCCCTGCGCGGCCCCGCGGGGCCCGGGGAGGTTGCGCTTCCCGACAGAGATCGCGGCGCTCTGCCTTTCGCCGCCGCCCCTCTGTCGGCCTTGTCCAGTCCCGGGTGTTCAAGTCCTCTCCCCTCGCCCACCCTCCCTCCCTCCCTCCGGCCCGCGCTGCGCGCTCCGCGCTCTGGACCGCGCCGCCGCCGCCCCCGGCCCTTTATAGCAGCAGCTGCCAGCGCCGGCGTCGCTCATTGGCTGTGGCGACAGAGCTCCGCCTCCTCACGGTTCCCGACGGCGCGGCAGGTGGAAACGAGCGCGCGCTGGTCGGGACTCTGCACCCCACAAAAGTGTATCCTAGGTGCTCGGGTTGCCAGATTCAGGCCCTCCTTCCCTCGCGGCCCTTGCTTCCTGCCTTGGCATCCCTTCTTGGGCTGGTTTTCGGGCCAGGAAACGGGTTCCCCTCCTCCGTCCAGCACCTAGTGCTGGAGGAGCCAAGAGAGCGGGGAGATATTAGTGGTCTGAATATGCGACCTTCCAGAGGTGCTGTCCACTAAGGGGACTGGGACCTGGAACCAATATTTCAGTAGGCAGAGGCCTGGTTCCCCAGATTTGGAGGCACCCGGTGTAGACCACCTCAAGACCACGGAGGAGGGTGGCTAGTGTGGCCATAGTCTTCTGTGGAAGGAGGCTGGGACGCTGTTAGAGTGGGCTGGGTGCTTCTAGGTTTCAAAAGGTGAGGACTGGCACTCCCCATTGCAAGGGAACTCTGCACTGCTCCGAAGGGGGTAAAAAGGTTTGGGGCTCAGTGTTCTGGATAATCCTTGCTGGAGCCCTGCAGCTCCGGGAAACCACAGATCCTTCTCGGACCCCACAAAACTGGGGTGGATGGATTTGTCACATAAATGTCCTGGCTTCCTCGGCTCGTAATTGGTCCTCCTGACTTTGGAGTCTCGCTCGCTCTCTGCTAGGGGGTACCTGGCCTCTCTCTAAGGCGTTGGGGGTGGCGCAGCCTTCTTTGGTGCGCGGGCGCAGGTGCATGTTTACGTCGGGGCGCGGGAACACGCACACACTAGGGCGGGGTCGCCGGGGTGTTAGGCTTCAGCACCACAGACAGCAATCCGACGGTCGGGGCGAGGGCGCTGCGGGCGGGGTAACCCGGACCCCCTAACTGGAGAGCCCCAGTCCCCATCCTATCCTCGTTCCTGCACGCCCTTTAGGCTCCAGACTGTCAGAGAGCGCCACCAGCCAGGAGAGCCTAATTTGCCCAATCAGGGGCGGCCCTTGAGAGAACCAATTACTGGAAGATGCCCTAGAGATCGAGCCAATGGAAGCGCGCGTACCAGGGGATGCTGCCACGCCTGGAGAGGGCAGACCAATCGCAGTGGCCCGCACAATCGGGGCGGTGGCGGTGCGGGTTCCCGGGTGGCCCCTCCTGGGCTCGCTGGGGCGACCTTGCTGCCGATGCGGGGGACCCTAAGCGATGGTCTCTTCCCCCACCCGTGTTCCTCCCAGTTTCCGTCATCGGAAGCTGTGCCGGGAGGTGGGGGCTGCTCCTGGGCGCGCGGACCCCGCTGCGGTTCCCATGGAAACCTGCCGGCTCCGGCTGTTCTGGGAGTGCGGAGGGGACCTGCCTCAGGGGGGAAGGGAGCTCGCGGGGGCGGCCCCAGCGGCCGAACTCGCTCGTCCTTGCCGATTCTTGTCCCCGCCTTGGGTAGCCCCCCGGTTCGTAGCGCAAACAGGCGTAGTTGGGGCCCCGCCCCACCCGAGCAAGCTGGTGAGGAGCCGGTGGGCCAATCTGCGCGTGGCGCCACAGGGCTCTCCCGGGCACGTGCCTGAGCTCGCGGCTGCAGTCCCCAGGGTCACGTGGCTGCGGCCACCGGGGCCTACGCGACTCGCGCGCCACCTGGCGGCCGCGCCTCGCTCCCCGCCCCTCTCCCTAGCGGCCCGCAGGAGGAGGCGGCCTCAGCATCCTCCTCCGGGAAATGGGGCCAGGGCAGCCGCTGCCAACTCCCCTTCCCCCCGCGGCTTCCTGTTTTAGGAACACGCCGAGCTGGTTCTACCTTGGGGTTTTAGCACTGATTGTTCCTCTGGCCTGAGAATTTCCTCCCCCACTTTTCTTCAGGGATAGATCTTTGTCATTCTGGCCTATGTGCAAATGCCACCTCCTCGGAGGCCCTCCCTGACCACCGACCTCAACAGCATCCCGACCTCAACAGCATCCCCGGAAAACGCATCACTGTCTTTTGCATGGTGCTTGTCACTAGCTGCAGATGTTTCTCATTTAGGGAATTGCTGAACGCCTCCCCCACCTCATCTCGGAGCTCGCTAAGGGTGGCAGATGGGTGCTCTGTAAGACCGGAGGAGTGGGCATTAGGGTCCTGAGTTCTGGGAGATGCCTAGAGACCCCAGACCCCCAAGCCCCACCTCATCCTGTGGGATTAGGGGCTGTGTGGGGCTGCCCGGCCCAGGGGCATCACCCCTGCCCGGCCTCGCTCAGGAAGGGATCAAGTAGGCTGGAGACAGGGACCTGGCACCCCAAATTATTCAGGCCCAGGAAAAGGGCATCTCCTTTCTCGCTCTTTAATCTCGCTCTGCTCTCTTGACACAGTTCCAGCAATGCAGCCCCAGGCACCAGCTTCAGAGAAGGATGCGGTGGGGCGGGGTGGGGAACCTGCCCAGGGGGCCCAGCCCTGGGGTGGGGCGGGGGCGCCTCCTTCCGGCCCGCGGTCTGGGCGGCCCTCGCAGCAGTCCAGGCCCCGGCAGGCCTGGGCGTGGTTGGTGTCCGAGCGGACGAATAAATAGGGGCGGTCAGTGGTCAGGTGGGTCAAGTGGGCTTGTGGTCTGGGTGGCTTTTGAGCGTGTGGAACTTGACGCTGTCCAGCTTCTCAAAGCGCTTCCCGCAGCGATCACACGTGAAGTTGTACTGCACCTCTGCCGTGTGCTTCTTCATGTGCCAGTTGAGCGACGCGCGCTGCCGGCACTGGTAGCCACAGATCTCACACCTGCCGGGAGCCCGTGGCAGCACGGGGTGGGGTCAGAGTGGGCTGGGCACCGTGGCGTGGGGTGGGGCCCTACAGGGCCCAGCGCTGGTGGAACCACGCCCAGGCACTGCGTGGGGGCAGAGTGCTCCCGGACCTGCTGGAATCCCCTCCCTCCCAATCCTCTAGCTATGCGGGGCGGCCTGTGACTCACTGCAGGGGGGTCTCGCCGGTGTGAGTGCGCCGATGTACCTCCAGGTGGTTCTTCCTTTTAAAGGACTTGCCGCAGGTCTCACAGGTGAATTCCCGGACACCTGGGAGCGGTAGGGACCAAGGCTGAGGACGGTGCTATTCGGGCAGGGGACTATGGGGTATCTCTGATGTGCTGCAGACTTTGATGCTAGAAGGAGCAGCAGGCTGTCTCCTTGCATCTCCCAGGACTGCAGGTGCAGACCGACCAAACACACGGAACCCTACGTCCTTCCCCTGCGACTGCTGGGAAACAAATCGAGTAGAGCTGAGATTCGAACTTGAGTCCCTGAGGGGCATAGGGTGCAAACTGCCATGCCAACATGGTTCTGAATTTGTCCCCAATATTTTTTTTGTTATTGTTGCTATTTTTCCCCGAGATGAAGTCTTGCTCTGTCGCCCAGGCTGGAGTGCAGTGGCTTGATCTCGGCTCACTGCAACTCCCGCCTCCCCAGATGAAGCAATTCTGCCTCAGCCTCTCAAGTAGCTGGGATTACTGGCATGTGCCACCATGTCCGGCTGTTTTTTGTATTTTTAGTAGAGACAGGGTGTCTCCATGTTGGTTCAGGCTGGTCTCAAACTCCCGATCTCAGGTGATCCATCTGCCTCAGCCTCCCAAAGTGCTGAGATTACAGGTGTGAGTTACCGTGCCCAGCCTTGTCCCCCATATTTGAACTTTGAATGATTTTGCATTAAAAAAAAAAAACTACCAGGCTCGGTGGTTCCCACCTGTAATCCTAGAACTTTGAGAGGCCGAGGCAGGCAGATCACCTGAGGGCAGGAGTTGGAGACCAGCGTGGCTAACATGGCAAAATCCCATCTCTATTAAAAAATACAAAAATTAGCCGGGTATGGTGGTGGGCGCCTGTAATACTCAGGAAGCTGGGGCAGCAGAATTGCTGAACCAGGGAGGCAGAGGCTGCAGTGAGCTGAGATCGCACTCCAGCCTGGGCAACAGAGCAAGGCTCCGTTGCAAAAAATAACCCCCTCAACACACACAAGAAAGAAAACAAAAAGAAACAATAACAACAAACAGCACCCCAAATTTCTGACCTCTCGAGATATCAGCAGCTCTGGCCCTCACTGTGTCCCCAGCCCACAAAGAAGACCAGCATCTCTACCACAAGTGGAAACAGAAGCCCAGTCCCAAATCAGCTGCCCCTCTCTGCCCAGCTCCCCTTCCTGTTCCTGCTTGGGTGGGCACTGGCTCTGGCCTGTAGCCCCAGGTGCTGCTATGGTTCCAATCTGGAAGAGGCCAGGTGGTGTCTTAGTCTTGCATGAGACCTGCTGGTGGGGTTGTGGGGATAGGAGGGAAGACAACCAGCCCCGCCCACCTCCTGTGATTGATTGGTAACAGTCCCCATTGTTGTGGCTCAGGTAGCTACAGCCTACTGAGCACAGGGAAGAGGCTTCTAGGGGTGCAGTCCTGTGCCAGGGAACTCAGCACTGGGTTTTGACCCTCCGGCCCGGCCCAGGCTCCCAGGCTCCCAGGCCCCGAGTCCCATGCCCCTGTGTCCCCAGCTCACGCACCAGCTGGCCCAGGGCCTGACCTGAATGGATGATCATGTGCCGCCGCAGGTGGTTGGATAGATAGAACTTCTTGCCGCAGCCAGGATGAGGACACACTTTGGTCTTTCCTTTCCGATGAACAAGGTTGACGTGGTTCTGGGGACGAGATGGGCAGGAGTGGGTCCCGTAGGCCCACTGAAGGGGCTCTGGGGGGTGGGGAGAGATGAAGGCAGCTGGAAGGCAGGCTGGGGCTGGCCTCCCCAGGAGGAGGGAAGAAGGCTACCCTTGCCCAACTCTGAGATTCCCAGGGGCACAACTGGGGTCAAAGGGCAGCTCTACTGAACACCTACTATGTGCCAACCTCTGGACTGGGGTATCCGTCAACTCTGTGAAGGGCCCAATTAATGGATGAGGAAACTGAGGTTCCAGGCTCAGTGGTTTGGCCAGGGTCTCACAGGTGGGCAGTGGCAGGACTGGGACTGGATCTGAGGGCTGTCAGCAGATCAACAGGCAGTCCCGACTGATTCATTCCTCTGTTCTTCCATTCTTTAACTTACTGGCTCTAGCTTGCAGGCCTGGCATGTACTAGGTACTTAATATATGCATAATCAAAGCATGGCATGGCACATTCAAAGGCCTGTTACTGCGTCCTCCCATGCCAGGTGTGAGATGTGACAAGTCCCTGTCTCTGCCTTCAGTGGCACCTCGTCAAACTCCAAGGGGCAAACTAGAGGTAGGACGTCCTGGTGGTGCCATGACCTGAGCCTTGTGGGCCTGGCCCAGGCTACTCTGGGTGGCGGCCTCACCTGGAAGCTGCTGAGGGCCACATAAACCTGGCTGCAGCCCTCGTATGGGCAGTGGAACATCTCGAGCAGGCCGTCAGCGTCCATCACCCGTGACCGCTTGCTCCGCCGCCTCCTGGAGGGGAAGGGGCCCATAAGGTTGGGGCTCCCGCACCAGGCAGGCTGGGGGCCTGGCCATTCCTAGAGCTTGCCTTCACCCTCGCCCAGCCCTGGCACCCACTTCTCGGGCTCCTTGGGGATCTCGTAGATGATGGCTGACATGTCGCTGCCGTCCAGCTCCCCACCGTCCACCTCTGCTGCAGGCTCTGCGCTCTCAGGCACCGTCATTGCCAGCTCCGGGGCTACGGGCTCCTCTTTCTCCTCCTTCTTGAGCAAGCACAGGTCCTCCTTCTCTACGGGGTGGACACAGGGTGGTGTCCGCGGGGCACGAAGGCTGCTAAGGTGCCCACTTCGAGGGCCACTCCTCGCCCAGTCCCTCCCAGGCCCAACCACCCCCGGCCAGAGGCCATGGCAGGTCCCCCAGACCTTTCTTGGTCTCGATGCCTACTACAGCAGTGGCATCCGTGGTGCTGGGCTGGCTGCCCTCGGGCTCTGTCTGGGTGTAGGCCGCCACGCCCTCCATCATGGCACAGGGCACCTCCTCGCCCAGGCCACCGCCAGGGGCACCGCTGCCTGCCGCCATGTTGAGGTGAATGCCCTCAGCTGTGAGAGCGTCGTAGCCAGGGCCTGCGATGATGATCACCTGTGAGCCAGGCACCATGCCTGGCATGGGGCAGCTGGCTACTACCTCACCCAGGGCCTCCTGAGGCACGTTCTCAAAGAGGGCGCCGGGGCCCGCACCCACTTGCATGGGCACTGGCATGCACACCACTGTCTCCAGGGCTTCAGGCCCACTGCCTGCTGGGTTGGGGCACAGCGGGGTCCCCTGCTCGGCCAGGCTCTCCACGTGGTGGACGTCAAAGGGGATGTGCACGCCCTCCTGAGTGATAAGCCCGCTGCTGCCCACCGCGCTGGTGGGCGTCACTGCTGCCGCCGCCGCCGCTGCACCCTTGACTGGCTGGCCCTCAGGACGCTCCTCAGAGTCGGAGCCAGAGCCAGAGCCAGACAAGTCAGAGCTGCTGGCCACCAGCCCATTGCCCACTGTGGGGACAGAAGAAAGGGAATGGTTATGATAGCTGCAGCCGCTGGTATTTGTTTAGTTTTTCTTTTCTTTTTTTCTGTTTTTTGAGACTCTGTTACCCAGGCTGAAGTGCAGTGGTGCGATCTCAGCTCACTGCAACCTTGGCGTCCTGGATTCAAGTGATTCTCCTGCCTCAGCCTCCCGATTAGCTGGGACTACATGCGCACACCACCACACCCAGCTAATTTTTGTATTTTCAGTAGAGAAGAGTTTCACCATGTTGGCCAGGCTCGTACTCCTGACCTCAAGTGATCTGCCTGCCTGGGCCTCCCAAAGTGCTGGGATTACAGGTGTGAGACACCTTGCCCAGCCCCGATTTTTTCAAGTAGAGACCAGGTCTTGCTATGCTACCCAGGCTGGCCTTGAACTCCAGGGCTCAAGGGATCCTCCTGCCTCGGCCTCCTAAAGTGCTGGGATTACAGGCGTGAGCCACTGTGCCCAGCCAGCACTTGGTATTTGTTGAGGGCTCTCCAGGGGTTAGACACTGTGACCCTCTCACTGCCCAAAACAGCAGTCACTTCTCAGTCCCCACTGCCCCTGACTGCTCCAAGATGACTGACCCAGCTGAACACCCCTTCTTCGGGGGACACTTTGCTCTCTTGGTCCCCAGACTCACACTCTGGTATCCCCAAAGTGCTGGGATTACAGGTGTGAGACACCTCACCCAGCCCTGATTTTTTCAAGTAGAGACCAGGTCTTGCTACGCTACCCAGGCTGGCCTTAAACTCCTGGGTTCTAGGGCTCCTCCCGCCTTGGCCTCCCAGAGTGCTGGGATTACAGGTGTGAGCCACTGTGCCCAGCCAGCACTGGGCCCCTCCTGGTGGCTCCTTCCAAGTTTCTTTGGTTCTTGCAGGCCTGGAAGGCTAGGGCTGAGGCCTCTCCTCAGCGCTCACCCCACCCCACCCCCAGGCTTGCCCAGGCTGATGGAGTTAAAGGCCACGCTCCAATTCTCAATGCAAACTGAGTGTCCAATAATTCAATCCATTTTGACATTATCTTCCTGGAGCTGACATCAAATCCTATAAGTTAAAGGCTCAGTCCCACAAGACTGCCTGGACTTCAGATGTCAGCTGCAAGTCCTGGGCTACCCTGTATGTCTGACCAACAGGCTATAAATGGAGGGTTTCCATGACCCCATCCTCAGGTTTGATATTTGTTAGAACAACTCACAGAACTCAGAAAATGGCTCTACCTATGATTACAGCTTTATTATAAAGGATTCAACTCAGTGACAGCCAAATGGAAGGGTACACGGTAAGATATGGGGGATGTTATGGTCTTCCATGCCCTCTCCAGGGGCACCACGGCCCCAGCATCTCATGTTTTAGAGCCTTGCTCTGTTGTGCAGCCTGTAGCACAGTGGCACAATCTCGGCTCACGCAACTTCCGCCTCCTGGGTTTAAGTGATTCTCCTGCCTCAGCCTCCCAAGTAGCTGGGACTGCAGGCGTGCACCACGCTAATTTTTTGTATTTTTAGTAGAAACAGGGTTTTGCCATGTTGCCCAAGCTGGTCTTGAACTCCTGATCACAGTCATGAGCCACTGTGTCTGGCAAGTTTTTATAACTCTGTCTCCAGCTCCCTGTTCAGTCCCTGGGGGCTGGGGGTGGGGCTGAGAGATCCCTCTCTGATCCTGTGTTTGGTCTTACTGGCAATCAGCCCCCATCCAGAAGCTATCTAGGGGCCCCACTGGGAGTCACCTCATTAGCAAAGATTCAGGGGTGTTCCTAGGGGGCTTGTTATGAATAACAAAAAACACTCCTATCACTTGGGAAATTTCAAGGGTTTTGGGAGCTCTGTACCAGGAACCCAGGATAAAGACAGAGACGAGGTCTTGCTCTGTTGTCCTGGCTGGAGAGCAGTGGTTTGATCGTAGCTCATGACAGCCTCGAACACTTGGGCTCAAGAGATCCTCCTGCCTCAGCCTCTCAAGTAGCTGGGACTACAGAGACGCTCCACCATGATAGGGTAATTTTTAAATTTTTATAGACACACAGTCTCACTATGTTGCCCAGGCTTGCCTTGACTTCCTGGTCTGGAGGATCCTCCCTCCTTGGCCTCCCAAAGCACTGGAACTATAGGAGACTAGCTATCTTTTTATTTTTTTTAAAGACAGAGTCTTGTTCTGATGCCCAGGCTGGAATGCAGTGACACCATCTCAGCTCACTGCAACCTCTACCTCCCGGGTTCAAGCAATTCTCCTGCCTCAGCCTCCTAAGTAGATAGGATTACAGGCACATGCCACCATGCCCAGCTAATTTTTTTATTTTTAGTAGAGACGAGGTTTTGCCATGTTGGCCAGGCTGGTCTGGAACTCCTAACCTCAGGTAATCTGCCTGCCTTGGCCTCCCAAAGTGCTGGGATTACAGGCGTGAGACACTGTGCCCAGCCAAGTATCTATTCCTTTTTTTTTTTTTTTTTTTTTTTGAGACGGAGTCTCGCTTTGTCACCCAGGCAAGAGTGCAGTGTGGCACAATCTCACTATAATTTCTGCCTCTCAGGTTCAAGTGATTCTCCTGTCTCAGCCTCCCAAGTAGTTGGGATTACAGGCATGAGCCACCACGCCCAGCCAAGTATCTCACGGCCTGGTGACTCCATGTGCAGCTCCTTCCTAGACCTTCCCGTCGAGCTCCAGATTATTCCATCACATGACCCCACCTAAGAGGGTCTCACAGGCATCTCAAACTCAGATCTGCAATGCTGGGCTCTGAATCTTCCCTCCCACAAAGCCTGCACTGTTCACAGGGTGTGCCTGACTCAGCGGATGGCAGCTCTGTCCCTCCAGTGGCTCATGCCAAAGCCCTGGGGCTCTTCTTGACTTCTCTCTCTCTCACACCCACTTCCAATCTGTCAGCAAAACCTGTTGGTGCTGCATCCAAAATATATCCACCTGCAGCCTGACCGCTTCTCTTACTTCCCCTGCAGCTGCTGGTCACGGCCCCTCCATCCCCCTGCCAGGGCCAGTGCAGTCCCTTCTGCTGGGTCCCCGGCTCCTGACAACCTGCTCCTTACCTCCTGTGAAAGACGCAGACCAGCTGCTCACTAAACCCCTCTCCACCTGGCACCAGCACCAACTACATTTCCCAGCATCCCTTGCAGGTAAATGTGGCACCATGTGGCTGAGTCCCAGCCAATGGAATCCAAATGGACAGGTGCTTCCAAAGTTGAACCTCCACTTTTCTCTCCAACCACCCAGCCAGGGCCCAGAAGGAGGCTGGAGCCACAGGAAGGAAAGAGCCTGAGTCCGTGAACGAAAGGCAGCCTGCAGGCTGGAAGCACCAGGCTTTGTATGTGGGAAACAAACTACTGTGCCATGTCACAAGAGCTGGCGTGTGTCTGTTTCAGGAGGTGTTCAATTACCTACTGCCTTTGCCTCCTCTCCTAACGTCCTTGGAGACGCTAGACAGGTTCCTGCCTCAGGGCTTTTGCACCTGTCATTCCCTCTGCTTGAATTCTCTTCTGTCCGACACTTGAGAAGGTTCCTCCCTTCCCTCCATCAGACCTTTCATTAAAGGGCATTTTTTCAGGGGGAATTTTCTGACCATTCTGCCTCAAATAGTTCCTTTTCCCTCCTTTATTTTTTCCCAAAGCATGTAACCCCTTACAGGGCACTCTATATTTTATTTTTCAGATGGAGTTTCGCTCTTGTCATCCAGGCTGGAGTGCAATGGTGTGATCTTGGCTCACCACAACCTCCACCTCCCAGATTCAAGCGATTCTCCTCACTCCGTCTCCTGAGTAGCTGGGATTACAGGCACACACCATCATGCCTGGCCAATTTTTCTATTTTTAGTAGAGACGGTGTTTCACTGTGTTGGACAGGCTAATCTCGAACTGCTGACCTCAAGTGATCCATTTGCCTTGGCCTCCCAAAATGCTGGGATTATAGGTGTGAGCTACCACAGGCGGCCTAAATTTTATTGATTGATTGATTGATTGATTGAGACAGTGTCTCCCTCTGTTGCGTAGGCTGCAATGCAGTGGTACAGTCACAGCTCACTGTAGCCTTGAGCTCCTAGGCTCAAGTGATCCTCCTTTAGCCTTCTAAAACGCTGAGAGGTGCACCACTATGCCACACTTTTTCATTTTTTGGCTAGAGATGGGGTCTCCCGGCCTCAAGCAATCCTGCCTTGGCTTCTCAAAGCACTGGGATTACAGGCTTGAGCCACTGTGCCCAGCCTACACTCTGTATTTTTATTAGTTTATCCTGCTCCATTTCCTCTCTAGAATGTAAATTCCATAAGGTTGCAGGCTCCCTGTGCAGAGCCCCTCGTGCTAAGAAGGCTGCCTGGGGCACAGTGAGGGTTTGTTCCAATAAATGAACGAATCTCAGTTCCCCAATCTTGGCTCACTGCAACCTCTGCCTCCTGGGTTCAAGTGATTCTCATGCTTCTGCCTCCCAGGTAGCTGGGATTACAGGCATGCGCCACCATGCCCGCTAATTTTGTATTTTTAGTAGAAACGGGGTTTCTCTGTGTTGGTCAGGCTGGTATCGGACTCCTGACCTCAGGTGATCAGCCTGCCTCATCCTCCCAAAATGCTGGGATTATAGTTGTGAGCCACTGTCCCTGGCTGTTTTGGGTCTTTAATGAATAAATATGTGTAAGGGCTTAGGACAGTAGGGAGCTCAAAGTAGGCATCCTGTAAGTTTCCTATTGTTATTATCTCAGTGCCATTCATTCAGTGCAGTGAGATGCCCACTCTTGATAGACCTGGGGTGGCAGCAGGGTTGGTGATAAGGATGATCAGACTCTCTTTCTAAACAATTTCCCCTTGTCCTGTAATCTGCAGGGTGGGCGAACACCGTGGCACCATCCTGAAGGAGGGGGCAGTCACCCAATAAGCAGAGGGAATGGCCAGAGGAAGCGTCTGGGCTCACGTGACTGCAGCATCTGCTAAATCTGGCTGACCCCAGACTTCTCCCCAGAGAAGTCGGCACTAAAAGAAAGAGCTGTGGGCAAGGCACAGTGGCACATGCCTGTAATTCCAGCACTTTGGGAGGCCAAGGCAGGAGGATTACCAGAGCCCAGGAGTTTGAGACCAGCCTGGGCAACATAGTGAGATCCTGTCTTTACAGAAAATTTAAAAATTAGCTGGCTGTGGTGGTGTATGCCTGTGTTCCCAGCTACTCAGAAGGGTGGGGTGGGAAGATCACTTGAGCCCAGGAGTTGGAGGCTGCAGTGAGCTATGACTGCACCACTGCACCCAGCCTGGGCAACAGAGTGAGACCCTGTCTCTAAAAAAGTAAATACATAAAAATAAAGGAGAGGTGTGGTGGCTCAAGCCTGTAATCCCAGCACTTTGGGAGGCCAAGGCGGGAGGGTCACAAGGTCAAAAGATCGAGACCATCCTGGCCAACATGGTAAAACCCCATCTCTACTAAAAATATAAAAATTAGCTGAGCATGGTGGCGCACACCTGTAGTCCCAGCTCTTTGGAGGCTGAGGCAGAAGAATCACTTAAACCCAGGAGGTGGAGGGTGCAGTGAGCCGAGATCACACCACTGCACTTTAGCCTGGCAAGAGAGCGAGACTCTGTCTCAAAAATAAATAAATAAAATAAAATAAAGTTAGCCATGTGCGGTGCCTCATGCCTATAATCTCAGCACTTTGGGAGGCCAAGGCAGGAGGATCACTTGAGACCAGGAGCTCGAGACCAGCCTGGCCAATGTGGTGAAAACCTGTCTTTACTAAAAATACAAAAATTAGCCAGGCATGGTGGCTCATGCCTGTAATCCCAGCTACTGGGGAGGCTGAGATGAGAGAATCGCTTGAACCTGGGAGGCAGAGGTTACAGTGAGCCAAGATAACACCACTGCACTCGAGCTTGGATGACAGACAGATACTCTGTCTCAAAAAAAATAAAAATAAAAATAAAAAGTTGAGGCCGGGAACACTGGCTCACGCCTGTAATCCCAGCACTTTGGGAGGCCGAGGTGGCTGGATCACCAGAGGTCAGGAGTTTGAGACCAGCCTGGCCGACATCTCTACTAAAACTACAAACAACTCTACTAAAACTACAGAAAGTAGCCAGGTGTGGTGGTGCACATCTGTAATCCCAGCTACTTGGAAGGCTGAGGCAGAATTGTTTGAAACTGGAAAACAGGTTGCAATGAGCTGAGATCGCACCATTACACTCCAGCCTGCACAACCAGTGCAAGACGCTATCTCAAAAATATATAAATAAATTTAATTACATTAAATAAAAAAGAAAAAGTTGAGTTGGGGCATAAGGAAGCTGGTCTGGGTGCAGCCCACACCCCAGCCTGACCCATCACCAGATGGACCAGTCAGATCACTCCTGGGGCCTAGGGTTCCTCGACTGACAAATGGGGCTGATGACAAGGCCATGGGGAAGATTCAGGGCGGCTCGGTGCAGGGTTAGGAGTGGCACACAGTAAGGGAGACAGTAAAAGGCAGAAGAGGGCGGAAGGCAGGTCCCAGATCACTGGACAGGGCAGCCAAGGGGCCATGGCATGCTGGAAGCCTGGCCGACCCTTGGTGGGACGGCTGTTGGTGGGGGCACCCACCCAGAACACCTCTCGCCCCCGGCTTCCCCTTGGCCAGCTGGGATGCCACCTGCTCCGAGATGCCAGCCAGCACTGGCTCAGCCCCGGTGACTGCCCCACCCTCAGCCCTGACAGGGCGCCTGGCAGCAGGCCCCACACTCCTTTTCTAGCCAATGCCAAACCCCTGAGGCCACAGGCAGCCCCCTCACCACCCACCAGGGCCAACTGGGCCTCCCTCACTAAATCCTTCCTGGCTGCCCCATGGGATGGGAAGGAGAGAGGCAGGGACCTTGAGGGTGGGAGGGAGGAGGAGAAAGGGGAATGAAAGGAAACAAGAAAGAGAGGGAGGATGAGACAGAGAAAATGAAAGATCAAGGAAGGAGGAGACAAAGGCAGCTCAAGGGAGGAGAAATGGGGACCAGGAGGGGAACAGAATGAAGTGGGGATGGCAAGAAGCGAAGCCTGGAAAGGCAGAAAGTGAGAGAATGGGACTGGGAGCTGGAGAAAATAAAAAAGGAGGTAGTGGCCAGCTTAGCCAGGACTCCAGAGGGCATCTGAGCCTACAGAGCCATAAGGCCGGGATGGTTCAGGCGGCCGTGTCGCTGTGGGGGCCGAGCCCTGCCCCAGCAGGCCTGCCCCCGCCCCAGCTGCCAAGCCAGGGCTCCTGGGCCCTCAGCCAGCCCTGCTGGGGAATGGCCTTGGGCACATATGGGCAAACTGCTTTGTAAGGAGGGACTGCCTCCTCACTTGGGTTCTGTAAGGACTCAAAGAGGTCAAGGTCATGAAGGGATCAGCCTGGCCCACCGTGTCCCCACTCTGTCCCAGTGCCAGAGCCAGAGCCAGAGCCAGAGCCACTGTGGCTGCTATTCTGTTTGCAATGCTGGCCTAGGGCTGGTAAGAAGCCCCTAGACATGGGCGGCCCCCTGTGTGCCCTCGCCCCACAGACCCACCTTTGTCACTGTCGGGGTCTGAGTCGCTGAGGGGCTTCAGGGGCGAGTGCAGGTCCTGGAAGTAGCGGTGGCCAGCTTCGCACTGCCACACGGCCGTGGTATACAGGCCGAAGGTGGGGTCTAGCTCCGCCAGGTGCGGCTCATACGGGCAGCGGTGCTTGTGGTCCTCGTACCAGATCACCACGTTCTTCAGGCAGTTCACGTTGCGTCGCCGCCCTGTGGACACAGGGCTGAGGGGTGAGTGTAAGGGACAGGGCTCAGCCCATGGTGACACGGCTGCCTGAACCACCTGGGCCTTGAGGGTCCCATGGGTTGGGAGGCCCTACTGAGTGCCACCCAGGCCTGTACCCAGTTTAGAGAGGCAAACTGAGGCTCAGAGGAGAGGCACTGGTAACAGGACTGTTCAATTGTTCAAGTCATATAAACAGTGGAGCCTGGCACACAGGAGGTGCATAATTGTTAGCTGCTTGTTATTGTTCTAATCTTCATCAAACGCTTCAACCAGTGCAGTCCTCAGGCCCAGGACTCCCTGGCTCCTGCCCTAACCACCCCCTATAGCCACAAGGGGGCGCCTGTCAACAGCCAAGTCAAGTCTGGTGCCTTTTCTGCGCAGAATCCCCAACAAGGGCACTGCACAATGCCTTACGCCTCCAATGCCAGCACTTTGGGAGGCAGAGGCCGGCAGATCACTTAAGGCCAGGAGTTTGAAATCAGCCTGGCTAAGATGGCAAAAACCTGTCTTCACTAAAAATACAAAAATTTGGCCGGGCGTGGTGGCTCACACCTGTAATCCCAGCACTTTGGGAGGCCAAGGTGGGCTGATCACAAGGTCAGGAGTTCGAGACCAGCCTGATCAACATGGTGAAACCCCGTCTCTACTAAAAATACAAAAATTAGCCCAGCATGGTGCCTCACACCTGTAATCCCAGGTATTCAGGTGGCTGAGGCAGGAGAATTGCTTGAACCAGGGAGGTAGAGGTTGCAGTGAGCCGAGATCACACCATTGCACTCCAGCCTGGGTGACAAAAGCAAGACTCTGTCTCAAAAAAAAAAAAATTAGCCAGGCATGGTGGCGCATGCCTGTCGTCACAGCTACTTGGGAGGCTGAGGTAGGAGTATCGCTTAAGCCCGGGAGGTGGAGGATGCAGTGAGCCGAGACTGCACCACTGCACTTCAGCCTGGGTGACACAGCAAGACCACCTCCCTCAGGGTAAAAGCCAAAGTCCTCCTTTCGGCCCACAAGGTCCACTGTGACTTGTCACCTCACTGCCCTCACCAGCTTGGTCACTCTACTCCAGCCACACGGCCTCCTCACTATTCCTGGAGTGGGCTAGGCGTGGCCTTGCTTCAAGGCCTTTGCATAGGCTGTGCCTGCTTTCTCCAGATAACTGTCATGCTCCCTCCCCACATCACTCAGGTCTCCCCCAAATGCACCCACCTCTGAGAGGCCACCCCCTGCCCAGTCACTGTGGTTGACCATAACTTGCTGTCTGTTTTCTCCAGGTAGTACCTAGATGCCATCTGTGGCCATTTGTTTACATGTGCCCTGACTGTCTCTCCCACCAGAATGTCAATTCCTCAAGAGCATGAACACTGCTGTTTTGTTCCTTCTGTACCCCCAGTGCCCCCGGCCAGGGCCTGGCACACCGTAGGTGCTCCAGGAACATTGGCTGGATGAGAGAACACTGTGTAAGGGGTGAGCATGGTGGAGCCAAACGGCCTGGGTTTGAATCCTGGCTCTGCCCCTCCCCAGCTGGGTGGCTCTGGGCAAGTGACTCGGCTTCTCGGAGCCCCAGGTGCCTCCTCTGAGCTGGGGGAAATAAGGGATTCTCAACCCTGAGGGCTGCCAGGTAGGAGGGAGGGAGTGAAGACATTACCAGGGCACAGAACAAGGCTGGGGACACAGTGAGTGCTGGGATATGTATCTGTGACTTGTGTGATGGTCCTGGTCCCTCGGCCAAGTGGGATGACAGCATGCCCCCCAACTCCGCCCTCTGGGCTGGGAGATGAAGAGGGGGCCCAGAAAAGGGGTCTGGGTCTAGGGAATGCACCCAGGGTCTCTAACCACAAGGGCAATAGAGTCATCGCCCACAGCCGCCTCTCCAGCCCAGCTCTTTCCCTCCTTATTGTGCTCCTCAACCCTTAAGGGGCTCATCCCTTGAGGAGTGCAATCCCTTGAGGATTCAGGGTCAAGGTCATAGGTCACCCCCCCCTCCGAAGCATCCTAAGAAGGGGAGGGGCTCACTGCCACCAGGGGGCCTTCACCTTGCTGGACATGGCCTGGGACCCCCAGCTCCAGGGCTCAGAGCTGTGCAGACCGTAGCTGTTCAGACTCCCTCCAACTGGTAGCCAGCAGGACAGGAGGGATGACCTCCAGACCTCTCCTTTAACCACCAGTACCTTGCTCCCTCTGCCCTTCAGGCTCTGCACAAGCTATTCCCTCTGCTCCGCTCTCCCCTGACCGACTCCCATGCCAGGAGCAGGAGACTGAGGAAGCCAAGCACATTGCGCCTAAGACACACACACCTGACTTTGAGGTCTGGCTCTGCCGATTCTAACTGTGCTGCCGATGGCAGTGACCTGGGCTCTCTCGGCCTCGATCTCCATATTCCCACCACTCCCACCTCCCTCAGAGGCTGAGCTTCCACTTACTTTTCTTCCGCTTTGGCTTTTTGGGGACCTGCTCCCAAGGCTTCCTGCAACAGAGAGAGGCAGTGAGGGTGAACACAGGGCCAGCGCTGGGCCTGTCTGACCTATAAGTAACAACAATAGCTACAGCCACTGGTCATGGTGCACTGAAACAAAATCTGAACTTTTTTTTTTTTTTGAGACAGAATTTTGCTCTTGTTGCCCAGTCTGGAGTGCAGTGGTACAATCTCAGCTCACCACAACCTCTGCCTCCTGGGTTCAAGTGATTCTCTTGCCTCAGCCTCCTGAGTAGCTGGGATTACAGGCATGCGCTACCACGCCTGGCTAATTTTGTATTTTTAGTAGCGGCAGGGTTTTGCCATGTTGGTCAGGCTGGTCTCCAACTCCCGACCTCAGGTGACCCATCTGCCTCGGCCTCCCAAAGTGTTGGGATTACAGGTGTGAGCCACTGTGCCCGGCGCTTTTTTTTTTTTTTTATTGAGATGGAGGCTCATTCTGTCACCCAGGCTGGAGTGCTGGGGTACTATTTTGGCTCATTGCAGCCTCCGCCTCCCAGATTCACATGATTATCCTGCCTCAGCCTCCTGAGTAGCTGGGATTACAGGTGTGAACCACCTCTCCTGTTTTTTTTGAAGGAGTCTTGCTCTATCACTCAGGCTGGAGTGTGGTGGTGTGATCTCAGCTCATTGCAACCTCCGACTCCTAGGTTCAAGTGATTCTCATGCCTCCAGAGTAGCTGGGATTACAGGTGTGCACCAGAGTAGCTGGGATTACAGGCGTGTGCCACCATGCCAAGCTAATTTTTGGTTTTTTTTTGTTTTTTTAGTAGAGACAGAGTTTCACCGCATTGGCCATGCTTGTCTTGAACTTCTGACCTTAGGTGATCCACCCACCTTGGCCTCCCAAAGCGTTGAGATTACAGGTATGAGCCAGTGCACCGAGCCAGAAATCTGAACTTCTATGTACCTGTCCCCAGCTCCAGCACTGTGTCACCAGGTCCCTCACTTGGGCTCTCTCCCCAACTGCCACCAGCCCTGGGAGGGGGGTCTAGTATTATCGCCACCTCAATGAGCAGGAAAAACAGGCTTGGAGGGGTGAGGCCACCTGCCTGAGGTCCTACGGTCAGAGAGCAGAGAATTAACAAAGTAGGTATGAAAGGTTGGTGTGGAAGCAGAATTCCAAGACGGCCCCCACTGTTCACTGGGGACACAGGCCCTGTGTGATCCTCTTCCCCTGAGCCAGGCAGGCCTGTGAGTAGGATTGGGTGCCAAGCCTTGGTTAGATGCCTGTGAGTTAATCAAAAGGGAGCATATCTTGTAGGGCACAGTGGCTCAGGCCTGTAGTCCCAGCTCCTTGAGAGGCAGAGAGTGGTCTTGGCCCACAGCCAGCAAGTCAGTGGGTACTGTCTGGGTGTTGTGTCTTACACCTGTAATCCTAGCATTTTGGGAGGCTGAGGCAGGAGGACTGCTTGAAGCCAGGGGTTCAAGACCAGCCTGGGCAACATAGCAAGACCCTACGTCTATTTATATATACATATATATATATATATAAATTTTATTTTTTAAATTTTAATTTTAATTTTTTTTTTAAGGTCAGGCTTGATGGCTCATGTCTGTAATCCCAGCACTTTAAGAGTCTAAGAGGGGTGGATTGCTTCAGGCCAGAAGTTGGAGACCAGCCTGGAAAACATGGTGAAACTCTGACTGTAAAAAAAAAAAAAAATACAGAAATTAGCCAGGCAGAGTGGCATGCACCTGTTGTCCCAGTTACTCAGATGGCTGAGGTGGGAGGATCACCTGAGCCTGGGAATGTCAAGGCTGCAGTGAGCTGTGATCACGCCACCGCACTCCAGCCTGGGCAACAGAGTGAAACCCTGTCTCAAAAACAGAGAAACAAATAAAAACAAACAAAACACAATCTTGGTCCTGCTGCAGCCCTGTCACTTAGTCATCAATAAGCAAATGGTACAATGATCATTATGATTATCAGTATCACCGTGGAGCCCAGCCCCCCGGCACACTGGTCTCCCTGCTGTGGCCCAGACCTGCTCTTGCCACAGACATCCTGACAACCAGTCTAGTGTCTTTTATCAGCAAAACTGCCCACCCCACCCTGACTCCTGCCTAGCCCTGTTAACAATTCTCAGCCCCATACCCATCTGGTCCCCAGGACTGTACCTTGGGGCTCCTCCATCCTTCCTAGCCCAGGCTCTGCCCCTGCTGGAGGCTCTGCTCCTCCACGTCCCATCCCATGTGACTCTATCCCTTCCTATGGCTCTACCCGCCCCTGCAAGGGGACTCACTGGCTGTGGATATCCTCACCCCACCCAAAACCCAAGTCTGACTGTTTGCCCAGGCTAGAACACGGTGGTGCCGTCTCAGCTCACTGCAACTTCCGCCTCCCAGGTTCAAGTGATTCTCCTGCCTCAGCCTCCTGAGTAGCTGGAATTACAGGTGTCCGCCACCATGCCCAGCTAATTTTTGTACTTTTAGTAGAGACAGGTTTTGCCATGTTGGGCAAGCTGGTCTCGAACTCCTGATCTCAAGGGATCTGCTCACCTCGGCCTCCCAAAGTGCTGGGATTATAAGTGTGAGCCACTGTGCTGGGCCCCAAACCCCAGTCCTAATGTCCACAGCCATCTCCACCCACTCACAACTGGAGGCTGGGAGTGTCACACTGCAGTGGGAACAGTCTTGGGTATCAGCCAGACCCAAGTTCAAGACTAAGCTCTTTTTTGTTTTTTTTGAGACAGAGTATCCCTCTGTCACCCAGGCTAGAGTGCAATGGCACACTCGTGGCTCACTGCAACCTCCGCCTCCTGGGTTCAAGCAATTTTCCTGCCTCAGCCTCCTAAGTAGCTAGGATTATAGGCGTGTGCCACCACGCCTGGCTAATTTTTGTATTTTTAGTAGAGACAGGGTTTCACCATGTTGGCCATGCTGGTCTCGAACTCCTGACCTCATGATGCACCCGCCTCAGCCTCCCAGAATGCTAGGATTACAGGCCACCTGCCTGGCCTCAGCTCTGCTGTCAACTGCCTGTGTAACCTCAAGCAGGTCTTATCCCCTGAGCCTCAGTTTTCCTGTGTGTCAAGTGGAAACAGTAGCAGTGCTACTGAGTCAGAGTCAGCACAGGACCAAAGAAGGTCATGTGTAATATGGTGAGTACCACTCTCCAACCCCAAGGCACGGCTTTCTCCCTCAACCTGCCTTCCCTGTCCTGTCTGCTTCTCCAAGTTCTGCCACTTCTCTGACTTGCAGCAGAGGCCACTGGCATCTAGGACCACAGTTATTGGGGCTCCTCAGGCCTTGGCTTTGCTGTTCCCTGTCATTTGCTTTCAATCTTCACTCATTCATTCCCACCAGCATCTAAATATGCTGTTATTTCTCTCATCTTGGATTAAAATCATTTTGATACACATCTTCCCCAACTGCCCCTTCCCCATGTCTTTTTTTTCTGAGACAGGGTCTCGCAATGTTGCCCCAGCTGGAGTGCAGTGGCATCATCACAGCTCACTGAAGCCACGACCTCCACGGCTCAATGGATCCTCCTGCCTCAGCTTCCCGAGCAGATGGGACCACAGGAATGCACCATCACCCCCAGCTAACTATGGCATTTTTTATAGAGATTGGTTTCACCACATTGCCCAGGTTGGTCTTAAGTTCCTGGGCTCAAGCAATCCTCCTGCCTTAGCCTCCCAAAGTGCTGGGATTACAGGCGTGAGCCACCGCGCCCAGCCTCCTTCCTCATTTCCCCGCTTTGCCACAGTTGTCTACACTCACTGTCTCCATGTCCTCTCCTCCGTCTAACTAGAAATCCTCCAGTCAGAGCTTTTCTCCACCACACCACACAATGTCCCATCACAGTCGCCAGTGACTGCCATTTCACTTGGCCCAATAGCATTGGACCCGACAGATGCTTCCTTTGGCCTCCTGGGCACTGCCACTAGCCCTGGGGCTGCTGCTTCTGTCACCTCCCTTACCAAGGAGAGCGAATGCCACACTCAGAACTGTTTTGTCTAGAAGTATCCCATTAGTAATTTTTTTTTTTTCGAGATGGAGTCTTGCTCTGTCACCCAGGCTGGAGTGCAGTGGCACGATCATGGCTCATTGCAACCTCCACCTCCCGGGTTCAAGCTATTCTCCTGCCTTGGCCTCCCGAGTAGCTGGGACTACAGGTGCACGCCACCATGCCCAGCTAATTTTTTGTATTTTCAGTAGAAATGAGGTTTCACCGTTAGGCGGGATGGTCTTGATCTCCTGACCTTGTGATCTGTCTGCCTCGCCCTCCCAAAGTGCTGGGATTATAGGCATGAGCCACCGTGCCCAGCCCTCTTTTCATTTTTTATTGTTGTCAAGAGTAGACTGAACCTCTTTGGACTTATCACCAGCTTTACCAATTGTCAACTCTTGGCTAATCTTGTTTTACAATGTGTAACCCATCCATCATTCCAGCCGCACACATCCTAGAGAGAGTTTCTTCTAAAATATAAACGAGGCTAGGCCAAGCATCGTGGCTCACGCCTGTAATCCCAGCACTTTGGAAGGCCAAGGTGGATGGATAGCCTGAGGTCAGTAGTTCAAGACCGGCCTGACCAATATAGTGAAACATGAACTCTATTACAAATACAAAAAATTAACTGGGCATGGTGGCGGCTGCCTGTAATCCCAGCTACTCAGGAGACTGAGGCAGGAGAATCACTTGAACCCAGGAAGCAGAGGTGATAGTTAGCTGAGATCGCGACATTGCACGCCAGCGTGGGTGACAGCGTGAGACTCTGTCACACACACAAAAAAAATACACACACACACATGCCCCAGGCTGGGTGCAGTGGTGTGTGACTTGTAGTCCCAGTTACTCTGGAGGCTGAAGTGGGAGAATCACTTGAGCCCAGGAGTTCAAGACCATTCTGGTCAACATAGCAAGACTGCATCTCAAAATAAATAAATAAAAAAGGAAATAAAAGGCCGGGCACGGTGGCTCATGCCTGTAATCCCAGCACTTTGGGAAGCCAAGGCAGGCAGATCACTTGAGGTCAGGAGTTCAAGACCAGCCTGGCCAACATGGTGAAACCTTGTCTCTACTAAAAACACAAAAATCAGCCAGGTGTGGTGGCGCATACCTGTAATCCCAGCTATTCAGGAGGCTGAAGCAGGAGAGTCAGTTGAACCCGGGAGGTAGAGGTTGCAGTGAGCCAAGATTGTGCCACTGTACGACAGCCTGGGCGACAGATCAAGACTCCATCTCAAAAAAAAGGGGGGGGGGGGGGCGGGATAAAGACAGACCAGGGTTCCTCATAGGTTCCTTCAGGTGTTTACTGAAATGCTATGTTCTGAACGCGACCACCTAAATCTCCCAATTTTAACTTCCAACTCACACTCCTCATTTCACTTTTGTTTTTTCCATAGCCCCTATCTCTCTCTCATGGACTATTTAATTTACTTCTGTTTCTGGTCTGCAGTAAATAAGACTTTTGCCAGGTACAGTGGTTTACAACTGTAATCCCAGCACTTCAGGAGGCCGAGGAGGGAGGCTCCTTGAGCCAAGGAGTTCGATACCAGCCTGGGCAACATGGTGAGACTCTGTCTCTACAAAAAATAAAAAAAATTAGCTGGGCGAGGTGATGCACCTGTAGTCAAAGCTACTTGGGAGACTGAGGCAGGAGGATCCCTTGAGTCTGAGAGGTTGAGGCTGCTGTGAGCTATCAACATGCCACTGTACTCCAGCCTGGGTAACAAAGTGAGACCCTGTCTCAAGAACAAACAGACAGGGCTGGGCGCAGTGGCTTACACCTGTAACCTCAGCACTTTGGGAGGCTGAGGCCGGAGAATCACTTGAGCCTAAGAGTTTGTGACCAGCCTGGGCAACGTAGGGAAACCTCTGCCTCTTAAAAAAAAACACAAAAATCAGCCAGGTGGGGTGACAGGCACCTGTGGTCCCATATACTTAGGAGGATCACCTGAGCCCACGAGGTTGAGGCTGCAGTGAGCCGTGATCATGACACTGCACTCCAGTCTGGGTGAGAGAGTGAGACCCTATCTCAAAAAGAAAAACAAAAAAAACCCCAGGCCTTTGAACAAGCCATCCACTCTGTCCACCAGAATGTGGACAAAGATACCTGGGGCAGGTATCTTTGCGTTCCCAGCATTTCCAGTTCTGCCCTTGAGCATATAAACCAGCTTGCTGTCCTAGGAAAGGTGGGTACAATTCAGTAGGATCTGTTTGATTCTTGATTCTCAGAATCTCCCCCCAGAGAAACATGTGAACATGTGCACCTGAAAACTAGGGCAGAACAAAGATTTCCTTGCAGCACTGCTTTTGATAGGGAATAAACATCATTCTCCTAACAGTTAATACTCAGGGAACTCACTACCTGCCAGGCAGTGTTCTAAGCTCTTTGCCCATTTTAACTCAATCATCACATCAACGTAAAAGGCAGGAAGGGAAAAACTCCATCCACACTGCTCCTTCTCAAGATTGACAATTTACTCTACAAAAGACAGGCCTCTCTGCCGACCACCTGCCCAGCTAACTCGGGAGCTCCTTTTCATCCGAGTCTCCCTGGACTGAGTTGCTTCACAGAAGTAGGAGGTTTAGGGGAGTGCGGCCCACGTTGTAAAGGGTCCTCTGGGTGTGCTGAAACGGGTTGTGGGAATGGGGCCATATGGAATCCCAGATGGGGCACCAGAACTTCATGAAGTTCAGGGCTGAGTGCCCCAGGGTGTCCAGAGTCCCAGGCCAGGTAGGGAATTGAGCGGGGGAGGATGAGGCTGCTGAGGGGGCGGGGCTGCCGCGCCAGGGACTGGGTAGTTACAAGGCCTGGAGGTAGGGCCAGTCCCAGGATTGGGCCGCTAGAGTTCTAAGGGGAGGGACCAAGCGCTCAAAAAGGCGGGCCGAGCGGCTAGGTGCATCCTAGGATTGGGCAGCTGGAACGATGTGAGGCGGGGCCGCCAGCCAGGCGCGTCCCTACCGGGCAGTCAGAGACCCAGGCCGGTAGGCCGGCGGCCCGGCTCCTGGGCGGGGCTCGCAGGTGCTGAGGGCGGGGCCTTGAGACTGAGGGGGCGCGGGGTACAACCGGCTGGGGCTGGGGGCGTCTCCTCCCTCGCTCCCTCCCTCCCTCCCTTGGGCCGAGCCCCCTCACCCGTGGCGGCCGCTCCGCTGGCCGCGCTCCAGAGAGATGAGGTAGGCAGCGAGCTTGGCGTCGCTCCAGCCGCTGCGGCGCCGCAGGTCCACCCAGGGCCCGTGCGCCTCGCCCAGGTACACGCGCCGCACGTCGTACTTCTTCCGGGACTCGAGCCGTCGCCGGGCCCGGTCCGACTCCGTGAGTCGCGGCCGGCCCCGCGCCTTGCGGCCTGCTGCGCCCTCCTCGGTGGCTGCCTCCCCGCCCGCCTCAGCCTCCGCCTCGGGCTCCGGCGCCCGCTCCGCCATCCCCCCCACCCTGGTTACCAGCCTCCCCCGTTGTTAGGAGCCCGACCGGAAGTGGCGCGCATCTTCTGCGCCGCCGGGAAATTTCTCACGGTCTCTCGCTGCCCCAGGGCGCCAAAAGGAGATCAAGAACGGAAACTGCGCGTGCGCAGAGCCAACCGCTCCCCCGCCCCTTTTCGGCTAAACTTTCTAACTTCGTTTGGTGGGGGAGAACCAGAAGAGCCTGCAGACCCTGGAGGTGTCTCGCTTGCCCATCGCTGGCAGCCTGAGATCCTGGGGAGGGGATGCCACACTGCCAGAGAGGAGGGAAGGGAGCCCCATGCAGCAAAACATTTATTTGCTCTACACTCAAAGGGCATCTCGTGCCTTCATTCCAGTCCACCATCTCCTCAGGCCACAGACTGTGCCTTCGTGGAAGCTCAGACTCAGCTCTGGCCCTCCCGCTGTCGCTGCAGGTTGCTGTCTTCTTCCTCGTGGTCCTCGGGCGGCGGTGGCTCCTCTAGCCCTGCAGATGTCTGGAGCTCCCCGGTGGGCCCAGCCAGGCGGAAGACCACGGGGATCTGAGCCAGGGCTGGGTTGGTCTCCTGCAGGTACTGGATCCACCTGGCCAGCGTTGCCTGGTCGTGGGCACCCGCTATGCACATGGCAAAGACAGGGCCTTCCTCCACTGTTGGAAGAGATGCACCCTCAGGGTTTGCACAGTTGGGGCTGCAGCGGGTAACCCATACCTACACCTTTTTGAGGTATTTTACACTCCCTTTCACTTTCTTTTTCTGTGATGGAGTCTCACTCTGTCGCCCAGGCTGCAGTGCAGTGGTGAAATCTCAGCTCACTGCAACGTCTGCCTCCCGGGTTCAAGTGATTCTCCTGCCTCAGCCTCCTGAGGAGCTGCGATAACGGGCGCACATCACCATACCCAGCTCAGTTTTTTATTTTTAATAAAGACGGGTTTCACCATGTTGGCCAGGCTGGTCTCCAATTCCTGACCTCAAATGATCCACCTGCCTCAGCCTCCCAAAGTGATGGGATTAAAGGCGTGAGCCACTGCACCCAGCCCCCTTCTACCTTCTTGTACCTCCAGACCTTTGCACAAGCTAGCCCTGCTGCCTAGGCTGCCCACTCCACACTTCACCTGGGCGATGCCTTCTGGGTCTTCCAGATTCTGCCAGGAAGCCCTCCTGACCCCCTACTCAAGGCATGCTCATCTCCTCAGCTCCCCAAAGTGTAATTTGCCTGTTCCTTCACTGACCCGAGCGACTAGGTTTATGCTGGTGACACCCAGTAGTCAGCACAGAGGTGTGGAGGGAGGGAATGACCAAGGGCCGACCAGGCTGGGTGGCCTCAGGTCTGGAGTTCCTGGGACAAGTGAGTGTGTGTGGCAGGAGGACCAGGGGGTAAGTGGACTGTGTCTCAGCCTGGGCCTACCCATTCACCCCAGAGGCCACTCCTCATCCTGGAAGTCCTGCCTGTCCAGGTTTTTGCCTTTTGTTTTTTTAAAGAGATAGGGTCTGTCACCCAGGCTGGCGTGCAGTGGCTCAATCATAGTTCACTGCAACCTCAACTCCTGGGCAAGTGACCCTCCCACCTCAGCCTGTTGGAGGGCTGGGATTACAGGCACATGTGTGAGCCATGGCACAGGGTTCAGTTTTTACCTTCATCGATGTCAAACTCGTAGTCGTCCCAGCCATGCCTTGCGTAATCTAGGTCCAGCCACATTGGGTAGTAGAGGTTCCACTCCTCCGGTATCTCTTCCACTTCCTGTTCCAAGGAGAGTAGTGCAGGCAGGGTCAGAGGCTGGGACTCTCGCAGTCTCCCTCCCCCAGCCTCTCCCACTCGCCCTCAGGGTGGTGCCAGCCCACTCCTCAGCCCTGACACATGCTTTGCTTTAAGCCCTCACCCTCTCCTCCGGGGGCAGCAAGTCAGCTCTGAGGATGTGGTAGTACACACACTTGTTGCGGAGCCACAGGGAGAAGGGACCCTCAACAAAGATAGGCCGGGTTGGGTTGTGGCGAGCCAGGGCAGCCTGCTGATCGGGACTCTGGATTCCTGGTGTGGAGACATACATGCTCTGTGCCCTGTGTGGGATTCTGCCCAAAGGCCCAGCAGCCCAATCTAGGCCCAGCAGGAACCTGGCAGGGCCTGGGGCAGGTCAGAGGCCTGGCCAACCCCAACCTCTCAGGACTTACCCACGATGTGGGGCTGGGTGGGATCTGCTGCATCTGTTGAGTCTTTGGAAGAAGGAGTCTGCAAGGAAGAGAAGGGATGTAATCTTGTAACCCCCAACCCCCTACAGAGGAACTGGGACAGAGAAACAGAAAGGGGGATATCAACAAATTGAGGACACCTCTCCTAGACCTGGTGTGTGGCCCTCCATCCCATCCCCTCCTCCCTCTGTCCCATTTGGCAATAGCCCCCAATCTTTACGCTGCTCACCCTGAGGGTAACACCCTGGAGCCAGCCCACCTGTGTCAAAATCCTGACTCTGTCACAAGAGTGTGACCTCGGCCAAGTCACTGTACCTGTGTGCCTCAGTTTCTCCAGATGCACAATAGGGATAACAGCAGTTAATTCCAATTTTTTGTTTTTTTCTTTTTTAGAGATGGGGTCTCCCTCTCTGTTGTCCATGCTGGAATACGGTAACATGATCATGGCTCACTACAGCCTTGAACTCCTGGGCTCAAGTGATCCTCCCACCTCAGTCTCCAAAGTAGCTGGGTCTACAGGTGCACACCACTATGCCTGGCTAATTTTATTTATTTATTATAATTTCATTTTCATATGGAGTTTTGCTCTTGTTGCCCAGGCTGAAGTGCAGTGGTGCAATCTTGGCTCATTTTAGCCTCTGCTTCTTGGGTTCAAGTGATTCTCCTGCCTCAGCCTCCTGAGTGGCTGGGATTACAGGCACCTGCCACCACGCCTGGCTAATTTTTTATATTTTCAGTAGAGACGGCGTTTTGCCATGTAAGCCTGACTGGTCTCAAACTCCTGGCCTCAGGTGATCTGCCTGCCTGGGCCTCCCAAAGCACTAGGATTATGGGCATGAACCTAACTTTGGGTGGTTATAAAACATGTAGAACAGTGCCTGGCAGGTAATAAGTGCTCAACGCTTGTGAATTAAAAAAAAAAAAAATAACTTCACATATACAGAATATCCCAGGAAGGAGACATTGGAAGCAAATGATAGCTTTCACCTCTGTGGAGGACAGGGTGGGAAGGAATACCTTTTTGTATCTTTTTAAATTTTATACCCTGAACATAATTCAAAAACACTAGACAATTTTTTTTTTTTTTTTTTTTTTTTTTTTTTTTTTTTTTTTTTTTTTTTGAGACGGAGTTTCACTCTTGTTACCCAGGCTGGAGTGCAATGGCACGATCTCGGCTCACCGCAACCTCCGCCTCCCGGGTTCAGGCAATTCTCCTGCCTCAGCCTCCTGAGTCGCTGGGATTACAGGCACACGCCACCATGCCCAGCTAATTTTTTGTATTTTTAGTAGAGACGGGGTTTCACCATGTTGACCAGGATGGTCTCGATCTCTTGACCTCGTGATCCACCCGCCTCGGCCTCCCAAAGTGCTGGGATTACAGGCTTGAGCCACCGCGCCCAGCCGACAATTTTTTTTTTGTTTTTGAGATGAGGTTTCGCTCTTGTTGCCTAGGCTGCAGTGCAATGGCATGATCTCAGCTCCATGCGATCTCAGCTCACAGCAACTTCCACCTCCTGGCCTCAAGTGATTCCCCTGCCTTAGCCTCCTGATTAGCTGGGATTACAGGCATGCGCCACCATGCCTGGATTTTTTTTTTTTTTTTGTATTTTTAGTAGAGACAGGGTTTCACCATCTTGGCCAGGCTGGTCTCAAACTCCTGACCTTGTAATCTGCCCACCTTGGCCTCCCAAAGTTTTGGGATTACAGATGTGTGAGCCACCGCGCCTGGACAGAAACTTTTTTTTTTTTTTAAACAAACAGGTTTTTGCTTTGTTGCCCAGTCCGATGTGCACTGGTGTGATCATGGCTCATTGCGGCCTTGACTTCCTGAGTTCAAGTCATCCTCCTGCCTCAGCCTCCTGAGTAGCTGGGGCTACAGGCATGCACCACCACTCCCAGCTAATTTTCGTATTTTGTTGGTAGAGATGGGGTTTTGCCATGTTGCCCAGGCTGGTATCAAATTCCTGGGCTCAAGTAATCCATCTGCCTTAGCCTCCCAAAATTACAGGCATGAGCCACCACGCCTGGCTTTATTTTCCTCAATGAGATAGAGGAGAAGACTATTTAAATACAAATGATATAGATGCAAAAAAAAAAAAAAAAAAAAAAAAAAGACATATATCTGCTTGCAAATGTATAGAACCTCTCTAGAAAGAGACATGGAAATAGTTACCTCTGGGGAAGGAGACGGGGGTGAGAGGGGGCCAGGGTAGAGGCAGAGGACTCGTCACTATGTGCTTTTATGTGCAATTTGGCTTTTTAGTGCATTGCTTTGTAAAATGAAGAAATGAACTAAAAACAACCCTTCCCCCCAACATTCTACTGCTGCTCTCAAGGCTTCTCTCACCTGGACCCACAACGTATCCACCATCATGTACATGGCCGCCAGGGGACACATTTGCAGTTGCAGATTTTTCCACAAACATGATTCTAACCCTATCCCTCCTTTTTTTTTTTTTTTTTTTTGAGAGGAGTCTTACTCTGTGGCACAATCTTGACTCACTGCAGTCTCTGCCTCCCACGGTTCAAGCAATTCTCCTGCATCAGCCTCCTGAGTAGCTGGGACTACAGGCATGTGCCACCACGCTCGGCTAATTTTTTTTTTTTTTTGTATTTTAGAAGAGACAGGGTTTCACCATGTTAGCCAGGATGGTCTTGAACTCCTGACCTCGTGATCGCCCACCCGGGCCTCCCAAAGTGCTGGGATTACAGGCGTAAGCCACCGCGTCTGGCCTCCTATCCCTCTGTTTAAATCCTCCTCCACCCCCCAGATGGCTCTCCCCACCAACCAAGAGATTCAAGATCACGCTGTTTAATCAGGTGCCCCCACTCCCTGCACCCGATTCCCTGGTACACACTGCTCCCACTGCCCAGAGTCCTCTGCTCTCCTCACCTCCTCCAGGAAGCCCTGCCTGCCCACTTGGTTCCCACAGAGCTTTGGGCTTCTCCATCTCAGAACCACTGGCCCTTAAGGAAACTGTTTTCCGGGGCTGGCCTCCAGGACCAGATGCCAAGTGCTGTGAGGGGCTCTCTTTGGATCCCCTGTCTGACCTGGCATGAGTAGGGGCCCCTCGGACACTGAGATGGGGGTGTTACTCCATTCAGTCATTCAACAAGTGCCAAGTGTCAGCCTTGCACCAAACCCTGTGCCCAGCCTTGGGAGATCGGAGGGAGACTGGGTCATGGTGAATGAGGAACAAAGCCCAGCACGGTGAAGGGCTGGTGCCTTGGCCAGGGAGGTCAGGAAGGGCATCTTGATTAGGAACAGTGGAACTGAGACCGGAATAATATGAAGTCCATGGGGAACAGTGTTCCTGGCAGAAGGAACAAGGGGTACAAGGGCCTGTGGTGGGAATTGACACAGAACACTCCAGGAACACAAAAGAAGGAAGATGCCAGGCCGGGCATGGTGGCTCATGCTTGTAATCCCAGTACTTAAGGAGGCCAAGGCGGGCAGATCACGAGGTCAGGGGACTGAGACCATCCTGGCTAACACAGTGAAACCCCTTGTCTACTAAAAATACAAAAAATTAGGTGTGTGGTGGCGGTACCTGTAGTCCCAGCTACTCAGGAGGCTGAGGCGGGAGAACTGCTTGAACCCAGGAGGCGGAGGTTGTGGTGAGCCAAGATCGTGCCATTGCACCCAACCTGGGTAACAAGAGCGAAACTCCGTCTCGGGAAAAAAAAAAAAAAAAAAAAAGAGAGGTAAAAGGGGCTTGTTTGCCCCTTATACTTTATGAGTGCACAGCAAGAAGGTGTCATTTTTGAAGCAGAGAGCAGACCCTCACTAGACCTAGATCTGGTGGCACCTTGATCTTGAACTTCCCAGCCTCTAGAACTGTGAGCAGTAAATTTATGTTGTTCATAAATGACCCACGCTAAGGGATTTCGTTAGAGCAGCCTGAATGGACTGAAACAGAGGTCACTCAAGCTGTGCTAGCAGTAAGGACCATGGGAACCTACCAGAGGACTCAGCTAGAGAATCAGAACTTAATTCACGGCAGGCACAGTGCCTCATGCCTGTAACCCCAGCACTTTGGGAGGCCAAGGCAGGAAGATCGCTTGAGCCCAGGAGTTCAAGGCCAGCCTGGGCAATATAGTGAGACCTAGTCTCTCTAAAATAAACAGTTTTTTAAATTAGCCAGATGTGGTGGTATGTGACTGGTGTTCCAGCTACTCAGGAGGCTGAAGTGGAAAGATGCTTGAGCCCAAGGCAGAGGCTGCAGTGAGCCGAGATTGTGCCATTGAACTCCAGCCTGGGCAAGAGAGCAACACTCTTGTCTCAAAAAAAAAAAGGAACTTGATTCACCACAATCAGTTGAGTGAGAGAAGAGAAGGGGAGCCCAGGGGAGGAGTGGTGGGAGCCTGGCCTGGGGTGGCAGCTGAGGCCGTGGTCAAGGGCGGATACCTGGTATATGGTGACCCTGGCGCTGAGGTCAGGCTCTATGCGCCGCAGGGCAAATGTGGCCAGTTCCACAGGGTCCTGTGACAGGTCCCGGGGCACAGGGAAGGGGTTGATGTTCATGAATCGAGGGAACCACCGCTTCAGGCGCAGGAACTTGAGCATGGGGTGGCTTTTGCGTCCAAATATCTGAATCAACAGGAACTCTGTCTCCTTGTTGGGCATCACCCCTGTGCTGGGCAAATGCAAGCAGAGCCTCAGAGAGGGAGGAGGAAGGAGGGAAGGGAAGAGGAGAGAAGAGAATATTGTAGTCAGGGAATTACAGACAGGGAGAAAAGAATCCCAATTAGAAAAAGTCAGGCTCAAGCCTGTAATCCCAGCATATTGGGAGGCCAAGAGGAGAGGATCACTTGAGCCCAGGAGTTTGAGACCAGCCTGGGCAATATAGCAAGACCCTATTTCTAAAAGAAAGAAAGAGAGCCAGGTGCAGTGGCTCATGCCTGTAATCCTAATACTTTGGGAGGCCAAGGTGGGCAGATCACAAGGTCAGGGCATTGGGATCATCCTGGCTAACACAGTGAAACCCCATCTCTATTAAAAATACAAAAAATTAGCCGGGCGTGGTGGCACGCACCTGTAGTCCCAGCTACTCAGGAGGCTGGGGCAGGAGAATCGCTTGAACTCAGGAGGTAGAGGTTGCGGGGAGCTGAGATCGCACTACTGCACTCCAGCCTGGGTGACAGAGCAAGACTGTCTCAAAAAAAAAAAAAAAAAAAGAAGAGGTGACTCACGCCTGTAATCCCAGCACTTTGGGAGGCTGAGGCGGGCAGATCACGAGGTCAGGAGATAAAGATCATCCCAGCCAACACGGTGAAACCCCATCTCTACTAAAAATACAAAAAAATTAGCTAGGTGTGGTGGCGCGTGCCTGTCATCCCAGCTACTCTGGAGGCTGAGGCAGGAGAATCAATTGAACCAGGGAGTCGCAGCTTGCAATGAGCTGAGAATGTGCCACTGCACTCCAGTCTGGTGACAGAGGAAGACTCCATCTCAAAAAAAAAAAGGGAGGGGAGGGAGGGGAGGGGAAGGAGGGGAGGGGAGAGGGAGGGAGCGGAAGGGAGGGAGAGGAGGAGGGAAAAGGAAAGGGGCAAGGGAAAGGGAAGGGAAAGGGAAGGGAAAGGGAAAGAGAGACTGGGAAAGGGAGGGGAGCTAGAGAGACAGAGCCTGGGCTGAGACCCAGGAGAGGTGCTGCCAGCTCTCAGGGCAGCCCACTCCCCACCCCACACCGGCCTCCTGTCCTCACCGTTGTTCTCCATCTGCTCCAGGACGGCCACCCCACACTCCTGCTGCCGAGGGTAGTGGATGAAGATCTGCTGGATGAAGTTGCGAGGCCGGAAGACCTCCTTGGGGAAGATGTCGAGCAGCTGGTTGTACACGGCCAGGTCCCGCTCGACGCCATACTCACGCATCTTGCGCAGGGCCAGGTAGATAAAGTCAACGTGGCCCCGCTTACGCACGCTGTGCTCCCCAAATTTCTGCACCGCCTGCAGGAAGCTCGCCTTGTCCCGTTTCCCATTGGGCGCCTGCCCAAACATGTTTTCATAGGGCACCAAGGCCTTGGTGCGGCTCTGCTGGGGTTCCGTTGGGGTGGGAACCAGCGACGTTTCAGAGCTGTGGGTGGCTGCGCTGCAGTGGAGGCCCCGAGGGAGCTGGCGGGCGACCTGGGAAGGGAGGAGAACTGCTGGAATCTGACACCTCCCAGTGTCTGGAGGCGGGGTGGCTGCCAGGCTAGCTTTTTCCTTGGAGAGGTGCCAGTGGCCTCCCAGAAGACCTTGGAGGTAGGAAACTGTGGTTACAAACCCAAGATTCGAGGCCATTACAAAGTGCGATAAAACACAGTGCTGGCATGGCACGGAGGAAACAGGCGCTGTCAGCCATGGCCGGGGCAGCTGCTAAAAACTGCCATGGAGGCAACTTGGTAATAATCACAGTGATGACACACACATGCTTTATTTATTTATTTTTTTTTTTGAGACAGAGTGTTGCTCTGTCCTCCAGGCTGGAGTGCAATGGTGCAATCTCGGCTCACTACAACTCCTTTTCCCGGGTTCAAGCGATTGTCCTGCCTCAGCCTCCGAAGTAGCTGGGATTACAGGCTCCTGCCACTGCGCCCAGCTAATTTTTATATTTTTAGTAACGATGAGGTTTCACCATGTTGGCTAGGTTGGTCTTGAACTCCTGACCTCACGTGATCTGCCTGCCTTGACCTCCCAAAGTGCTAGGGTTACAGGCGTGAGCCACTGTGCCCAGACA